TAGGTCCTTTTCATTGGTAGGGTGGGAAGGTCCGTTGCCGCAACGCTGTACCACTTTCGCTGCTCGAAAGTGCGTAACGTAGAAGTAGAAGCTTCCGACTGATTGCTGTTCCTGTCTCTGCTCACCATCCTATACGCCATACGGCCACGCGAAACGCGTCGCCAGTGTGCACCCTCCCACATGGACAGTGTTCTGTGAGTGTGATGTTGAAAGTAGGGTCCCACCTCGAAGGGGTTCTCATCAGCCTCAATCAGTCCCTTCAAACAGCATCTCGATGAGAGGCACCATGACGTATGGTGATGAGCAGAGACATTGGCATCACAAGCCTTGAGGTTTCTTGCCAAGCGCCTTCGCGTGGCAGAGTGGTACGCTTCTGCGGCTGCAGGCCTGCTCACCGCCATTGCTCATCTCAGATTTTCGCAATGTGCCCTTAAAGATACGTTCTGCCTTCAAAAATGGTGAGCTGTGTGGATGAAATAGTAATGACAAGATGGCAAGTAACATGAAAGCGAAGAAAAAAAAACAGAGGAAACCTGCTTGAAATGCTCCATATAACCCCACGTGCACCCTGCGTAAGGAAAGGAAGGGCGTGTGTGAGACGAATTCTCACTCGTTAGTGCCTGCTCTATCTCCTTATCTTCTCACTTTCTCTGTTCTGAATGGAGAGAGCGCAGCAGAACAACACTACGAAGAAGCCGTTAGAAATGACTGTTGGGCGTTGGCTGGCCAGTGGGCGGGACCGTTGCCTTGTTGTAGTGAGTGCTTTCTTAGGTATTTTTGAGCTGCGCAAGAGGTATATCATCAAGGATAAATACCTCTTAAACGCGGAGCGTGCCTTTGACTTGCGTGACAGAAATTGCACAGTTGGAGGTGATCAAGCCGCGTAAGACGTTCAAGGAGGAAGATTTTCTCGTGTTACTACCTCGATGCTGACAGAAGACTGTAACTCAGCATATCTGAGGCACGACGAGGACACACGAGGAAGCGTCACAAATGGACTCACTCGACAGCATTCGCACCAGAACCCACCTGATTCAAGGTTGCACTGCTGCGGCATGCAAGCCGTTAACTAAGAAATGCTTGCGCGATACCGCTTCCCGTGCCGGAACGTTTCTGAACTACACCCCTGGCGAACTCGGAATTCATTCTACTGAAACTGAAGTCTGGTACTGCAACTTGCAGTAAAAGTGTCCTAAAACTGCTTCGGACAGAATGGGTTAGCTTTCTTGCGCTTGATAAGAACAGCAGCCTATGAGAACGAAGGAACTCGGGACGTACCCAGAGAACAGTCGTAGAACGCAACAGTGCGTCAATCTACTGATCACCGCCCTCTTATTCCCGAAACTTGGTCTGCCGTGGTCAGACCGTGGCAGAACAGGAATGAAATACAAACACGTGCTCCGGACGGAGAACGCTTGAGATCGTCGAACGGTCAACGGGGACGTGATTTGATCAGAAAGACAGTTAGAGGAAGAATACACCCTATATTTGGATAATGTTTGGTTCATTATTTATAGTGCGTATTTTATTTGGCCTTTACCGTGGCCACCACATTAATTTGATTTGCTAGTCATTTTGGAAGAATGAAAAAATACGGCATTCGCTGTTGAGCAATCTCTTTTTGGGATACCGCACGTATCCGTTTCTCGGCTCAGAATTGTAGTAGTTCTTGAATGCGATTGAGTCTTCACCCTTGACCCGTGGGCCAGCCGATGTAAAAGATAGCGACCCCAAAGAAGTGAAGAGGTAGAAAGCTTCCAGTTGCACGAAAGCCGAAGGCAAAAAAAAGCGCACGCTGTTTTCTGTCTCGTAGTAAGCCCAGGATCTGTGGTGACTGAAACAATCCGGCCAAAAAATTCTTCCTTCAGCACGGGCCATTATCTTCATAATCCTGTGCTCCCACTGTGCCCTCAGGGCAAACTTTTTTTCTTTGGGAACCTTTTCCTTTTCGGGGGGGAAAGTTAATTTTAACTAGCACATAGTTTTTTGGATAGTTGCTAGCAAACTCAGTGGCCGACTTAAAGATGGGGGACGAGCGGGAGCCACTCAGTCGTGAACCAGGGGCAGGTAATGGTTTAATGGTAGTGGAATCTAAGTTGTAATTCCACAAAAATGATGCATATGTGGTAATCTCCTATCTTTCTAGATACTGCTTCTGAAATGGCAAGCCGTGCCGTTTACCGGGGCGTTTTTCCCCTATTTCTTACGAACAAACAAACATATCGACGAAGCAAAATATACAGTGAGTGGTAGTCGGTTCTTGGTCGGAGTTTCCCTTTGGTTCACTTGATTGTTTTTCTCACCCCTCCCAGTGCACATACATAATCTTGTGCGGATCCCATCAGGGAGGCTGTGTTAGAACTCAAGGAGAATGTTCCCATACGCTGATTTTTCCACATTCAGGTACGCTGTATACCTCCTACACTTGACGTTGTGGCCGGCGAAACGACTTGTGCTGCAATCCACCTTTTCAGGGTGTACTGACACCGCGATTTCACCAATCCCGTGTCCACGGTTCCCTCACCACTCGAAGCATCGGAGAAGGAAATAGAGGGGGGGAGGAAAAATTATAAAATTAACAAGGTTTTACTAGATCGAAATCTCTAGTAGACAGGAAATTAAAGGGCAAGTTACTAGCCTTCGCGTCCAAGTTCACCTCGAAGAACTGTGGTTCTTGCACTCCTAACTGACCGGACTGAGGTGTAAAAAGGAAAGTGCATTTCAATCATGAATGTTCTCCTGCCCTTTGCACCTTATTGCATTTTACGGACATAAGAAGGTGATGTGCATGTTCTGTTTTTTCCACTTGATTCAGGATACTACTTATCCACGTACATGTTTCTTTTCTCTCTTTTCGTATTTTTTATGAATTCCCAATTACTGGTACTTTTGGATATTGGTAATTCAATTCTATTGCCCTGACGTGGGGGGACGGGGAGAGGGAAGTAGTAGGCATTTCTGGCTAGTTTTTTTTTCTTTTGCTAGCTCCCCTTAAGTGACACGTTTCATCTTAGAAAAACGTGTCAGCTGCAAAGTAAACTCATGCCACTGCAAAGTTTCACAATATTCACAGGTCTTTACTGCCGTTAGCAGTGATCGATGGGAACCAACGAAATGCCGATTATTTCCGCAAAAAGCTTGAAACATTAGTCTCCGATAATTGCGAGGAGGCAGCACAGCTGATTTTCTATCTTCGGCTCAAAGATGGAGTCCGTGGCGGTTGTGTGGGCGGGGTCAGCTTCATTTAATTTTTCGCATTGAGCGCACCACTTCCTCAAGACATCAGAGTTAAAGAGCGTTTTAATGATGAAAGTCATGATATGTAGGTCTGACTCCACCTAAATGGTAAATGTGTAAACACCATGAGAACAGAGCAGGTGGGCCACCCAAAATATCGGCACTATTTACCCTTTTACTGCCCCAGTCTTCCGAAAACAGGCCAGTTTTTGACCGACTTTTTTCTGCCTTGGCAGAATTGGCTGAAAATTTGTACCCTGGGTAGTTTGACCTCCTGAACATGAATATCACATCCGCTAGGCACGAAACCTCCTGGCGCCCGCGCCACAGGCGCCGGCGCCAAAATACCTTAAATCACCAAATTCGCTGAAAACTTGTTTCTGACCTCCTGAACACGAATGTCACATCCGCTCGGCCTGAAAACCTCCTGCCGCCCGCGCTACAGGTGCTAGCGTCCAAAATACCCCAGATCACCGGCGCGTGGGCGCCAAGAGGTTTCGGGCTAAGCGAGTGTCATATTCCTATTCAGGAGGTCAAAATACCCCAGGAGATAATATTTGAGCCAAAGCTATCCATGGACAACAAAGTCCGGTTTAAAACTCTGCAATTCCTGGATGGGTGGTGCAGTAAAGGTAACATTGCGCAAAACATCTTATGAGCGAGCAGTATCATCGAACAGTGTCTTCTATTTCGAAAATTATCACTAGAATAGTGAATTATGAGCAAAACTCAGACCCTAATCGGGACTCGAGCCCCCACTTCATGCTTAGCGGGCGAGCTCAGCGGCTTTCTGTGCCATAGTTAGCCTACTGAGCTGCTTATCGTACAAGAAGCGGCAACCGAAGGCATAATGGACACGTCTGGTCCGGTAGGCGTGAGGTTCGAGTTCGAGTCCCTTCAGAGGTCTGATAACGAGTTTAGCCCATACTCAGCATTCTTGTGATATCTTTCTTCATACTGGGTGTCAGATGTTACCTAAGCGTAGATGTGTTGCCTTAATAATCAGGCGATTGGAAGACGGCAAAACGATTCGTACATGCCAATTGAGGGCGAATTATCGAGGCAATATTACAACCAGACGGGTTCTTTGTTCTTTGCAACAGCTGATCAAAGAATGATCAGGAAGGACCGCTCTGGAATGGGAGAAACTCTCGAATAGGTGAACGAAAAGCATTACTGGAAGATGTTCAAAGCATTCTAGGGACATATAAAGCACGAGAAGCTGCACAAGGGCCGCCCTGGTGATGCTAAACGCGTGCCAAGCTGCCGGATTAAGCTAATTATTCACTGAATCATTCAACTGACATCAGCGTTTTGGGAAGCCTTCATCAAACATTCAAAAAAAAAACTTGAAAACGTGGTTGACATTGACCTATCCTTCAAGGCCGTAATTTTGTTGATTTCCAGTCAGCTGATATTGTATTTTTTTGTAAAATTCCATTGCGAGTGACTGATGTACAAATAAAAAAACAAGGCAGGCGTTAGGGCTTGACTTGACCAAATAGTCTCAGCTAAGGCTTATGTACATGGTCCAC